CTGCGTCAGCATGCGTAGGCTGCAAAGGAACAAGTAATAGGTTTATTCAATGCTGAAAAAAAGAAGAGAGAAAACGCAACGTTTCTACCGTGGAGCCTTCTTCAGGTGTATACAGTTGCTGTATATAGTTTATGTGCAGTGTACATAGAGGATCACTAAAACCAGTGGCCATTCTGCTTATTCGCAACCGAATCTCCAACGTTGTCGAAGTACATTAATGAGAATAATACTTACCTTAAGACAGCACTAAAAATTCCCAGTTTTACGAAGGTTTAATAGCTGGCTTGCGTTATTATATCAACTGCAATGTGCAGGATTAAAAAATGTGTTCACTATATCTATAAAATATTACATAGTGTATTACAGTATTTACCAATTTACCAATTTACCAGAAAGTCATGAAGATGTTGTTTTCAAAGACAGCCATTTACCAGGAATGCGGAATAGAGGTAATCTTGAGGTAGTTCCAGTTATTTTATCACTACTAAATCTATTCTGGGGGCAGTGTGATTTATCTCTCCGTAGCTACTCTTAGACCCAAGAATCGATCAATTTTTATTATTTTTTAACTCAACAGGAATACAAATAATGTAGTAGTTCATAATGAAGGCAATTAACTTCAATTAGTAAGAGTCGGTTAAGGTAATAACCACATAACTACAGTAGGAAAGCCATGCGTATTAATAAAGAATTTACCCATGAAGGTATGCACTATTCCCAGTGGTATTTATGACTTTACCAGCTTACCGTTCTAAATGTAACAAAAAATGTCACCTATTATTTTATTTAGTAAAGCAGTTGATTAAAGAAGCGTTGTTTCTACTAAGTTACATTTTTTAGAACGGGTATAAACATTTTAGAAAGTCTTTAATTAAAAGCCCTCCATGCTTATAGATAAAATGCCTTATTTAAATACACTGTACTGAATTTAACATTGCAGCACCATTAAACACCGGAACTGGTTTATAGTGTTGCCGAATAATGAATTGGTTTCACGCCATTAAATACCTGTCATCACAATATTCCACAAGTTAACTGAGGATAGCGGTGCCTTTGCGTCGCGTCATCTGCTCTTCCATTGAATTTCAAACCCAGGCTACTCATTTCAATGTTTTAAGATGAATCTACAAAATAAAAACACGCCGACGCTAAAAATTGCCAGCAATATTTTAAAGTGTAGTTGTCTCTTTGAAAATCGCAAATAATTAGAATAGGCCTAAAGCCGTTATTTTCCCATCCTAGTTACCCATTTTAATCGATGAAAATAAATATTTTGTTTCAGGGTTGCATGCATGCAATTTTTCAATCAGAAATGTGGGGAACTATATTATTGAATGTTGATAATTGAATCATTTTTCTTAGAGGTGTCTGGGAGTGATCTCCTTTTTTGTCTATTTTCTGTTAATTTAAACTTTTGTCTACAAGATTTGTTTAAAAAGGGAAGTAAAAACTCTGTAGACTATTATGGTAAAAGTCTATTTGCTTAAGTCCCCAAAGTCTATTTGCATAAAATAGTTTAGAATTTCGCCCGGGTAGCTCACACTCTATAGCACAATAAACACACTTTGCCGGTAATGTTATACACGTACCGAGACAGAAATTAAAATCTTGTTGCTACGTGCCATTGTCTTTTCTAACTGTAGATGTGTTGGCGCTCTAAGTGAGTTCTGATCAGTCAGCTAATTGCTTCTGATCACATCTGTTTTGCCTCGCCTATTTAACACAAATGGCCCAGTTGAACCAAGTGATAGAACACCAAAAAACAACAACAATCCTTCCCAATCGGTTTCTCGAAGTGCTTCATTTAGTAAATAGAGGGAAGCGAAAAGGAAACAACCTTTAAAGACCTTGCAGTTCTGTTAAATATGCAATTGAAACAAACCCGGACTGCAAAGAACTTAAAAGGCAATTAACACCATTAGGGGAGTTTTTAATTGCTCTAAAGTACTGAAGTGTAATTACTCCCAGTTCAGACTTTCTTCTTCTTTGACAGCTTTAATTGATGAGCGTGAGGGCCGCCTGTTTTGTTATTTTTTAATGAACTGAATTATACTGGACTTATCATATTACTTGGAAACATGAAGGAAAGGCAAACTGCAGGCCCCAACCTTCCATCAGCTTCAAAGTGGCTCATCGTTGTCCCCATGTGTGAGATGTTTTGTTGCTATTCGGTTTTGTGGCTTTGTGACTTGTACAGTTGTATAACTGTATGATTATGGATTATTTCTTTAGAAATAAGCAAAAATAAATCTACAAATATTTGTTCAGTCTGTGGATTTTTAATTCGAAGTTGAAACTTTAAAATGTTTAACAACTGTACATTTACAGTAACTATTGGTTAAACAATTTAACTAATGCAACAGTAAAAGACACTAACAAGTTGGAAAACCGTATGCTCTTAAGATGTTTTATTTTATTATAATGTTCAGATAGTAAGGCTACAATCCTTCTGAAATCATTAAAGCTTTTGTTGTTTAAACAGTAAGAATGTGGTCAAATGTTTCCATTAATATAGGTATGAAGAAGAGACAGTAGCATATAAACTGAAGTAGATATCTTGACAGCAACGAGAATAGTTACAATTATTAGTATTATTATAGATTGTTATCCTTAACATACTACTATATTATTAATCAACATTACTTACACAGAAATACGTTTTAAAAATTAATAAACCTCGACCATGGTCATAAAAGCTAATTATTCTAATTCAATTATTGTTTTTATTTGTTTATTTTGAAAACGCCTTCCTTTATTTTGTAGCCGCCTGCAGCACTAATAAAAAACAGCAGTCTAAGTTGGGGCCTTGGGGCTAAATGTGCTACTGCTTTCCCTTTCTGTCTCTTTCAGTGCCTTTTATTCCCCGCAACAAATTAAATTTGTCCCATCAGTTATAAGACGAGCAGCTACCAGCCAGTACCGAACAACCCTGACAAAGTGATTTATGTTAGCAACAATACATGTGACAATGGCGAAGAACCCAAAACGCACTCTCAGCTGCTGGGCCCATCAGGTGTTGCCTTTGTGCGTCTATAGCCCTCCCACCACACACACTTTCAGGCAATTTCAAAGAAACAAAGATTGATTACACAGATTTAAAACAAAGACACATTTGTTATTAACGTTCTGATTGCGAATTTCTCTTAAAACAATTTAGATCTCACCAGAACGTTTATTAGAGCGATTTGCCTGAGGGTATAGCCGTGGGTTTAATTGATAAAGCAATAATATATAGATTTATTCTTTAGTTTTCCAGTGTCATCACAAAGGAAAATGCTTTATCACTTATTATTGTATTAAATTAGCAAAAGACAAAACAGTCTTATCCCTCTTAATATATTTGTACACCACATTACTATTGTGCATCTAGAGCAGGCCTATATCAAGCCAGAGTACAGCAGGCAATGAAAGTAAGATATACAAAGATGTCTCAATCGACTTTACAAAGTTATTCATTACAAATGCGTAATCATTCAAAACATAAGGTATACTATTGCATTTTTTCTAGATCCCTGTTAAAAATTGTTTTGTAAAAGAATTAAAAATCTAGCATTTCTAGACGCGAGTGCAAAATAAACTACAGTAGTTCAAGAAACAGTTATTAAAAATTAGAAATTCCACAATACTCCCTCCACTCCATTTCTTCAAAGTCCCTGACAATAAGTGTTTTAAAAAGAATTACAAACCATAACATTCAAATAGGCCTACTCGTGTATACGTTTAACTTGTGGTCCATCAATCATACTAGAAATAATAGAAATATAAACTTTACATAACTTTGCTGGTTCACGTTGCTAATCTGCCTGTCATGCATTATTTGACATTGTGAACATTTTTCCTAGCATAAACTATTACCATAAAGGTGCAACCACGTTATTAGTTTAAAGCAATTAAAATATCATTTACGCTACAATTACTGCTTTTAATAGTACAATACATTTTTCTTGTTATAAACTCGAAATACATTCAGGTGTTTAATGCAATGAAAAGATATACGCCTAGTGTTAACTTTCTTGTTGTTTATCAGTTTTAAAGTTTGAAATTTGCCAAATTCAGGGGTTTATGATTATAAATGCTCAATCTTCGTATCTGAGGTTAACTTTAATACGCGTAATCACTTAGATTAACTTTGTATAATGTGAAAAAGATACAGATTCTACAATATTGAGTGCTGCATATCTTAGCTTTAGACAGGGAATTCTTCGCAAATGAACGTCGCAGCTATGGTCATTTAATCAAAAAAGCTGTCGCTCACTGCAGAACAATAGATGTCATTGAATGTTCGTCTTGAATTGAAGCACTGAATTCAAGCTTTCTTAACACAGATTCATTAAATATAGTGTTTTTGAATCTGCATGGCTGCATGACCTAATGTGCAATAATAACATGGTTTATGTTTGAGAAACAAAGTACTATGAAGTCACTGCCTGTAGGGAAGAGAAACTAATACAAGTTTAAAATTTGATTACTGTGGAATTTCTCACCACGCAAAGCAAAGTTTTAAAAATATCCTTTGGTATTCCCATTCGTTCCTGTGAGATTCTCTTGCTGCGAAAAGCGTCTTGGCTGAAGATACCGTAACTTAGAAAGCAGTCTTAATGTTTCAGTCCAGAAGAGCATTCCACAACCTTTTTATTCGCAGGTCCCAGAAGCAAACCAATGCTTGTACTTCCGTAGCGCTGTAGAATGTTTGCAGCTGTAAAAACCTATTTAACAGATATGCAGGTAAAACAACTTAAAGCGTGACAAGTGACTTTAGCAATATTGCCTTTTTTAGGCAAAGAGTGGTGGGGTCAAAAGTGACATTGCTCAATTTAAACATTTGCATGTACTAAGGCTATAGCTTTAAAGGGTTTCAAATGGTATATCTCAAATCTCACTAAGCATTGAAAAGTTAAAAGACATCATGCTGCACGTTGGCTATTTTGCAATATCTATCAGGCGTCTATGAAAGTCAAAGTAGGAAATTTATCCATTAAATGGATACATTCGGCACTGACCTTCAGAGTGCTGACTAGTCTCGTCCGAGAGTCACTGCAAGCGGTCTGCCGTCCAGGAAGCCTCTTAGAGATTACTGGATAGCTGTGTTTGTTTTATTTTGTCAACAGAAAACATGTTCTAATGTCTCCCACACAGAAACCAAAGACAGGAGTAGTGAAATATACAGGTGACAGATTGCTCTGCCTTTAGGCAAGTAAACTAGCGCTACAATACGGGGTAAAGATAAGACACATGGAGCACATTTATGTCATCATCTTCATCCTGTGGCGATTACTTTTATCGGTATTAAAAACAAGAACTTGTTTCTGTGTTTTTTTAAATATTGTGCAGTGTTGGGCTTTTTCGGTTTTCAAAAACGTAATTTACACTACTAGCATACACGAACGGCAATACAGGGTACCCAATATAAACTGAAGAACAATACACATCATTTAGTTATTTATTGCAGGTACCTGGAATTAAATTGACGAATCAGAATTGAAGAGATAGCTATTAGTAGTTATTGATACCTTTAGCTGCCATAGAAACAGCTGTAAAGGTCAATGTATCTTTTTATTTTTTTGATTTCTTAATCTTCAGAGAACCCACTTCTCTGAAGAGTAAAGGCGAAAGGCACACGTTAAAAGTGTTATCAATAAGATTACCACGAAAAACATGCATCAGCCTAGATCTCCATCAATTCCTTCCGGTTACTTTGCTAAGAGGCCAGTTTTATCTCTGATAAAAACGTGAAATAACAGTACAATTCATTGCCCGTAGTTTGCTAATTTTCCATTGATTTTTCATGTATTTTACGACTGGGTACGGTATTAGTTTTACTTCAGAATTAACCTCTTCAAACTTATCTACTCAACACATTTAGTAAATTTAATGCAGATTTACTTGTGATTTTGCTACTGATATTACCGCTGCTTAATTTACAATTAGTAATATGAAGGGCAATATAAAATACGATAAGAAGGTTCTACCTGCAATCTGCACTTTTTATATACTTTTTGTTTGCTTGCATTAAAGTATCTAAACTGCATGCAATTCGTTCTATAGGATTCGGAATGTTTGCCAAACAAGATGTGTTGGCTGTCACTGAACAAGAAGTATTGTTCCCTTAGAGGCTAACATAAGTTTAATGTGATTTTAAGAGTTCTCTTACTGTTCAGCTGAAATGTAAAGTGACACATTTTCTCTCCTTTCATAAATATTGCATTGTCCAAATGCAATTATAGAGCTAACGCAACACAAACGATTCCACAATAAGATTACATAACAGCGATAATGCGTTTTAGTTCTGCATCGGGCCATCAGACAAACGCCCTATTAATAATACTACAGACATATTATTCTGCTGTTTTTAAAACGGATTCCACAGGGTGCCTGCTGCTGCGCTTTGCTTATTGGGATATTTCAAACATACCAAAGACCTACGTATACTAACCGAAACTTAACTAATAATGTACTTCGGAAGCGATTATACCATCTTGTACTTAAGTCAAAACAAAACAAAACAAAACAAAACATATATAGCCCTTTTCGATTTCAGTAACAGCTATCCTACTGTACATTGATAGATTATATTGCTGTATCTGACACATAGCGAAAAATGATAACACATGGGTAAAACTGGTCACAAGATCATTGGTCACGTCCCCTCTGAAAACATTGTTGGCAGTTTTTAATATATTTGAAACTGTGATAGAAAATAAACATTGTTCTCAAATAGACATAATCTCTCATATATGCATGCACATAAAAGATTGAATATTACCTTGTTTCCCCCCTTGGTAAAATTATGTTATTTCAGTATAAATGATACAATTTTAAGACAAATGAATGACTGCTTTGAGCGAATAGTATAATAAAAGAAAAATATTAATATAAATTGCTCTTGATATGTTTAATTTAAATTTGGATTTTGCATTTCGCTTGTTTGTGTCATATCTTAAATACTACCAAAGCATAATCTGAAGATTAAAAAAAACAGGAACAAAAACATTTTTTTTCCTGATTATCTTTAGCCTTGAGCAACATCAATTTAATGGAAACTTCAGAAAGTCAGTTTAATAATAAACCTTGGTTAAGATCTGCAATTTAGTTAACAGAGATTAATAAAACCTCAAGAGAACCATGCAGAGTTTGATGCAGTTCAATGTAAGTATTAGCAGTACTTTCTCTTTAGAAAAATTTGCATTAAAATATCTACAAACCTTACAGAGGTCAAACTATCAAACTGCCTTTATGTAAGTAGGAAAGCGTTTTACAGTAAAGTGTCTTAATAAAAACTGAACATTTAGAGCCATACCAAATGCATAATGGTTCTTTAAATGCCATTGTACCAGATGAAAGGAGAACTATTCTTCTTATACTGGTGCATATTTTAAAGGAAGATTTGTGGCATTGTTTCATCCACTTCATACAATTGGTCCTGGTATTTACTTAGAAGACTGTGATGTTGCTTTGTCATAGCTTTTCTTGGTATATTGAAGGATGATCTATCTACTTAACAAGAGGATCACGCCTTTCTACCTTGCCAAATTGTAGAGCTCTTTATACAAATATAAGCCTCAAGAAGTAGGCTGACAAGATAAGAAAGAAAGGATATGCAATTTCAAAAATGAAACAATAACAGTTCCTGGGACCAGTGGTAATGATGATTTTGCAGTCATTACGTGTAAATACACAAAAACATATGAATAGCAGGCATTAAATGATTAGAAACAACTCAAATTAGTCTACCTTTTGTTGATATCACTTCAGAGTAGACCTTTTAGAGCATTGCTGGAAAGAATTCCTCAAGAAAAATGGAAACGTCTAAAGCTGCACTTTGTCTTAAACATTATGAGGATATCCAGAAGTCAAATGAAACTAAATACTTAGAATCCCTTTGGCAGATTTTTTGTTGTTTCAGGCATGCTAAAGTGTCTTACCATTAAAGAAAATGCAAAAAGAGTGTGTGTACATGTACATTGTGGTGAACAGCTTTCCTTCTTATGTTGTTTAGTTGTCACACTACAAAGGAAGAAAGTACAAATCTTTGAAGAAAATGCTACCACTAATTATTGGCACCAATGGACAGTAATTAAAGTTCATATCCTTGCATATTATGTAGACGAATACATTTCTAAAACATTTCTAAACAAGGAGACCGTTCACTTGCTTATTTTATTAATTTATTGAGGATATTTCATTTAATTTGTATTTCAATCATTTTTTAACTTTGGTCACTGAAATCAGTAACTGCAATTTCAACAAATATCTAATCATTTGAAAAGACAATATCAAGCATGATATTTTTAGACTAGACAATAGTGGCTCCTTCACAGTCTATCTGTACAATGGGATGTAGATTCTTCCACATGAATCACCAGTGCATGTTTAAGGTCATTTTCAGAAATGTATGGAAAAGCTTATTGGATCCTGTCTTGAGGCCAGTGAGATTATTGTATTACATACTGTATACACTGGTTTATAATGTTATTACAATGTAGAATGTCTACAAAGTTTGCAGCATGGTTTAATTTCTAAATGTATTCTCTTGTGAGGGGTGGCTGCACCAGATATTATCTGAAGACCCACTTATGTTCCAAAATATGGCTTCTGATTGCACTGACAGAGTACTTAGTGGAATTTTTGAGGCAGAGTAGATTTGTTGTGGCGTTCACCACACTTGGCACCATCAAACTAATTTCTCTTCTGATGTAATTTCTGTGGCTAAAGGATACATCATTATTCTTGGAGAACTTCCAGGAACTCCAACATTAATGGAATAAGTACATTCATGTTGCAAGAGATAATGATGGGCAGAAAAAATACGGTATAGCGTTTGAGAAGTCATGACTTGCTCATTTAGCTCAGGTTTGATACTTAGTGAACATCCATTGTATCACTTGTATACACCAGTATACAACATATCTCGTACTTAACAGAGAAGATTACGAACATCATTTGAAAAGCAATTTTTACATATTACATAGTAAAATTCTGTTTATTGGAAAATGATTTGTAAATCAAGTAGCTAGTGAAAGGGATGTGCCACATGAATTAGCTGAAGTAATAAAACTCCACAATATTCTGTTAAGAACTACAATCGTTCTACTGTATCTGTATTTGTACATCTAGTTCACTGGATGCAGAAAAGCAAGTGTTTTGAAAAGGAAAGGGAACAAATGGTGTCAAAATACATAATTAAGCACTTCTTTTAGTTTTAAGTATGTGCCCCAAGGAAATCTATTCTTAAGATTCAAAGGACTTGGAATTATGCAGTTAATCCAAAGTCCAAATGTGTATTTTTTAAGTTCCAATGTTGGAAACTATCTTGTTACATTGCATATTAACTCTGTAAATAAGTTTGGAATGTACATATAACCACTGCTTTGATGATTAAAATAACAAAAGGGCAAAAGTGAATCACCATTAGTTTGGGTAACGTGAAAAATAATGTTTGCCTCTTGTCCAAAAACACGTGCCCACTTTCTTTGTCAAATACAGAGTCATACAGAATACGTTACTATGGGAATTAATTTTTCCTTTTCACACTTTTTTCCTCACATTTTCTTCTGGCACAGCCCCTGGAATAGTCTGGCTGAGCTTTCTTCTAACATGGAGGCTTCTCTTGTTATCTCAAGAGACATCACACTATTAATCATGGATGCTGACAGGCATCTTTCCGGACACACCAAATACCAGTAAGAAACCAGCATGATACCATCTATCCAGCTTTAAGAGCTGTGGAAAAGACTATTCCAGATATACTCTACTGGATAGAATGGCAAAAGGAGAAAAGTTCTGGAAACCTCGGCTAAAGAGTAGAAGAACTGGAAAGACGCACACTCAAAAACAGATCAAGGCCATCAAGTGTGTTAGGATGTGGTGAGTCGGGTATTCATTTGATGTGAGTAATTGTAAAGCTCATGCAAAGGTTATACTTTCATTTACTCTTATTTGGTTGAAGGAAGAAATTAATATTGTGGATTTGAAAATAAAACTTGATTCCCCGAAGTCACTATGTTATAAGCACAGCTGTTTTTTGTTTTCATCCATAAAACGGTCTCATACT